CGTGATTGACACTGAGCATGAGCACCAAGAAACACTCATTTACTTCAGTGACAGAATACCTGTTCCACGATATGAGCAACCCTCCGTACCAGAAGAGTAATATGGCGACAAAGATGATCCCAGTGTATGCTAGTCCATAGATGGATCCAGAATATATCGCTCGCTTGATGCCGACGTTAATTGCTTCGGTGGTTGCGTTGTTGTATTTCGTTCTGAAGTGATCTTCCAATGCCAAGCATCTGACAGTCCTGATGTTGACGAATGTCTCGTGGAGCACTTGACCAACGTTATCATCAGCCTCGTTCGCTAGTCTTTCCCAACGGCTACTGATCTTGTTGTAGCATTGAGTGATTGCAAAGAGTATTGGACCCGTTGCAAGAGCAACGAGCGCCAACTGCCATGCTATAGCCATACTCCAAGTGATCCCGATGATGATCATGAGGGAGATAACGAGGAAGATACAAGCAAATCGCCCTGGAAGATTTCGCGCTTCCTCAGCAAAGTGGTCTAATGTCTCGGTAAGTCGTGATATGCTATTCTCCTCCTTGTCAAAGAATTCTCGTGGTTGCATAAGGATGCGGCGCATGGCTTCCTTCTTCAATGAAAGAGCCCATGTTTGTGCCACTGTATCGGAAAGAAAGAACATGAAGTAGCTTGTAAGTCCATCGACAGCAGCAATGCCAAGAATAGCTAGAGCATAATTGCGAGCTTGTTGGTCGTCGGCGGAAGCATCATAGAATGTGCTCAAAAGCTTTGCAAATACCCATGCGAAGGTCGGCGTACATGTAGAGTGGATCGTCGCGCTAAGCATCGCTCCTAAGAAAAGGAGACGAGAGCCCCAACCTATAGCGGGCCATATAGACGTGAAAATGTCCTTCATAGGCAGAGAGAGGGCGGAAGTATCCTCTTCCTCCTCCTGAATCTTTCGACGAGAGGGGCCGATCTTGGAAAGAAACTTGCCGTTTTTCAACCGCTTCTTCAGTGATTCCATTTGAATCGGGACAGGCTCGCGGGCTGTAAAGGGCTGTGGATGTGGGTCTATCCGCAAGACTGATCGCGTTGATAGTCTGGATACTGAACGAGAATCAATTTCTTTCGAAAATGACATAGAGCATATTTTTGCATCCGACCTTGGTGGAGCTTCGAAAGCTGGAGAGCCTGGCCTTGAGCCATGATCTTTCGAAAAGAGCGTTTCTCTGGTAAAGCGTGACTTGTCTGGGCTCCCGAGCTGCTTCAACTCTATCACATCCCAGGATGGTTCGACACTCCCCAACAGTTCGGGTGTTAAAGTTAGTTCTGACTGCCTGCCTCGATCACCCTCCTTTGTATGAACGGATTGTCTTGAGTACGTGATGAGGTCAGCCTTTTCAGTTCCTGCCCAAGATGCACGAGCCTTCCCGAGAAATGGCACCAGCATCTGCTGTCCAAAATGAACCGCAGAGAGCGGCCGTTGTGTCGAATTGACTTTAGGCATTCGTGGCTCGTCGTACAGTAATGTGATACCATCGGTCTCGTTTCGTGTATAGAAATCGCCATCACTATCCGATTCGCCATCCTCATGACCTTGATCAGTTTCCTTCCCTATATCGAGGAAAGTTTGGAAAGCTCCGACTTGAGACTCCAGCTCTTTTCGATATCCCTCTTGCACTACCCGTGCATTGTCTAGCAGGTATAGAAAATCATCGGGCCGAATTTGAGAAATTTCATGAGTAATGATGATCGTGGTCTTCCCCTTCCTCCAACTTCGTATGGCTTCAAGCATCTCCGCTCTCGAGACGTAGTCGAGAGAACTAACCGATTCGTCCAAGATCAGTACCGGCGAGTTTCGAACCTTGGCTCGAGCTAGAGTCATCCTCTGTTTTTGCCCTCCACTCAGCGAATCGCCCCTCATACCAAGACTGGTATCCAATCCGTCTGGAAGCCCATTTACGAAAGGCTCTAGCCTGGAAAATTTGACCGCGTCGTGAATTTCTTGCATATCAACCGTATCGCGTACGCTCCCGAGCGCAAGATTGTGACGGATAGTGTCGTTGAACAGCGTGCCGTGTTGCTCGACAAGCGTGACGTTTTGCCGTAACCAATGCACGTCCAACTCTCCAAGTGGTACCTTGTCCAGGAATATCTGTCCCAAAGAAGGCTGGTAGAAGCGTACGAGAAGTTGGCCCAGTGTGCTCTTCCCGGAACCGCTTTTGCCGATGAAAAAAGTCGTTTCCCCAGCTGGAATGAACAGCGAGGCATCACGAATAGCAGCTTCATCTCTGCGTGTTGGGTATGAGAATGTGACCTGGTCAATCAGCGATTGCATGACACAGACAAGACGAGTGTTACCTTTCGAAACTCAATATCGCCCAGACACTGTACAGGCCGTGTCCGACCTTGCGAATCAAGTTGCTGATCGGTTTCCGACATCGGCTTCGTGAGCAAGCTCAATTTGGCGCCCGCCGTCTTGCCTTTAGACAATACGATCAGTTGGGGCATTATCTGGGTCATTCCAGACATTGCCATGAGTACTGCCCAGAATGTTGTAAAGACTCCCCCTGGAGTACTGTCTCCAATATCGACCAGGTGGCTGCCGTACCAAAAGCCCTGAACGAAGACGCTGAGTGTAAAGAACTGCATGATGCCGATCTGAATCGAGCGAAAATTGGCCACCCATCTGTACGAGTTCGCTGCGAGAGTGATGATGTTTGAGAAAACATGTAGCTCGTAGCGTTCGCCATTGAAGCATTTGACCGTTTCGATGTTTGTCAATGCTGTTGTGATGTACTTGAGTCCAGACTGTAGCTTTTCGGCTTGCTCCTGTACACGCAATGATAACCGACTTGCGACCAACGATTGGACCACATATAGTGTTGGTATGGTACACAGAATGACCAAGGTCAAATTCCATGAATAATAGAATGCGACTCCCAAGGATGCTACCCCCTGTACGAGTGATTGTACAGCCTCTCCAAAAGGAGATGACACGGCCAGCTGCAAGTCGCGGATATGCCTGCCCTTCGTTAGCGGCTAGTCACTACGACTTGTACGAGAGTGAGGTGATACCTACATCTGCAGTGTCGGCAGAAATGCAGTGATACCAGACTCTCGCGTATCGAACCAAGCTATGTCCTTCTTGAGCAGGGCATCGAAGACCCTATCGCGCGCGCTCCTCGCCTGGAGCTCTCCGAACACAAGAAGGAAGATAAAGTATAAACTATTCGCAATCCAATTGAGGGTTCCGATGCCGGTGAGAATTATGCAGAGCTTGGCAATGTTGCTGATAAACTGGTCACTGTCTATCTCCCCTTTGCCATAGCTTGTGTATTGACCGGAAATGAGACCGTAGAGGATCGCGAAAACAGGCATGGTAAGGGCAGCGAGGGACGCCGTAAAGATACCGCCGACAAGTACGAGAACATGTTTGTTTGTGGTGAAGGTAAATAACGTCTTCCAGCCAACGCGTGATACGTAATCCTGCTCTTCATGTGTCTGGGATGGTGTCTCTTCGCGATCAGCCGCAATGTCGAAATTAGAAGTTGTCGTCATATCGGCCGTCCGGGCACCACGACTTCAAAACAAGAACGATCGTGAAATATCAAAATTGATAAGAGTTGAAAGCGATGTAGCGAGGTTATGGAGTGAGCGCAGAAGGAACTACCGTATGCGGACTAGGGTGGCGGGCATGTGGTCTTGAGATATTCTCGAACACCCGCTTTCATCGCTTACCTTGTTTGCTCTTAACATTGTTCACAAGCCACCAACCGCAGTCTTCGTAGAAAGCCGCAGAGTTGTGCCGGCTCTTCCGACCATTTGAGAGAAGACAAGATGCTTAGATTCCTGGTAGACCTTTTGAATAGGTGACAAACTAAAACTGACACACCGAGCGCATGTAGCGTTCTTGCTGGCCTTATCTTTGGATATGCGCAATAGGTATAACTTCACTACTCACACAGATTGCACGTTGATCACAACGTTGGTGGTCAGATGAGGACACCGCCTCACTGTTGAGTGTGCTGCTTACAGGGTGGCTGTTCACAGATCGGTATAGTTGGACGGCTAACAAAGAGGTTCGGCTCGAATGCGCGGACAAGTTACGGCCTGGATGTCGACAATGCAGCTAAGTATTGGCAACCCTTTCTAGGATAATGCGGCTTCGGATTTAGTTCTCTCAGGATCAATCTGGGGCGATCTAGTTGCCCTGCGCCTTCTCGTATATCCAGTCATTCAGACCTTCCCGATTGCTGCCAAAGTCAGTATAGAGCGCGCCGAGCCGTCCAGTGTGCCGCTTACCGTGCGATTTCGATAGCGTAGAACTGCATGCGCACCGCAAAAATTGTGCCTTCTTGGCTGTACTCCATCTTGGGACTCGCGCGGAGCATTGTGCCGAAGTTGTAGTCCTCCACCTTCTTCTCGTACTCACTGATGAACTTGCGCCATCGCTCCTTGCCATCCTTGCTCTTCATCTCGTCCTCGTTCAGTGTAGCGGACGCGTCGAATTCGGGAAAGTCCTTCTTGAGGTGTTCGTAGATTTCGTCATCGATCTTTGTGAGTCGCAGCTTGGAACCGGGTACTTTCTCGAGGATCTTCCAGTATGTTTCCATATGCTGCACAACTAAGGGGGAACGTCAGACTAGTCGCGAGTGTCGTATCATGCGCATTATACCTTTGACAGCAAACTGCTTCTCGATCTACGCACGCTGTTAGCGATCACTGTCCACCTTCCTGCGTTGCGACGCACGTACATCCTCGAAGTTCTCGGTCTCCTCCGGGTTGATGCTTGTGCCTAGGGGGCCAGCGAGAGACATGTTTGCGGTGTATTCGGGAATTTGTAGTCGAGTAGACGATCGGACTGAGGGTGTCGATAGTCGAGTGAGGTGATGGGTGAGTAAGGCAGGTGGTTAATGTGATAGTCTGCGCGCGAGACTGTCAAAAAATCGCGGGAACACTCCGTCATTGCCCCGCCACACATTTCACCTGCAGCGGCGCGCGGGGCTGACTCAACCCCAATTTTTCCCATCATGAACAACACTCTCGCATGTGATGCTTCCTCACCAATGTTTCCAACCCTACACGTGAGTTTGCATTACGTATAGGGGGACATGAGCTGATTACCCTAGCATGAGTGCACTCGCGTACCCGTGACGGCACTGGCTTCTTGCGGCGCTCTGCTCATCGTCGCCGAAGGCCCCTTTCTACGTTTCCACCATGCCAAGGACTCGCGGTACATATCCTCAAAACGCGTCTTCAAAGCCCAAGCCGTTCATGGAATACGTGTGTTTTCAGAAGAAAATGCCCATATCATTAAGCTAGTCATCTGGGGTGGAAGACTTGTCCGCGCTCTTGAAATCCATCTCGCAGGCCAAATTGGCGTACAAGGCTTGAGCTTGTGCTTTTCTAATATCGCAAAAGCTTCAGACTGGATTCTCGATCTTGCTCCTAGACCAAAAAGCTTGGATGACGATTCCCAATATCACAAAGCAGCCTGCATTGCTGTCACTGCTCACAACGCACTAGTGCAGGTTGAAATTGAACAAAGGAAGTCAGACACAACCCAGAATACCAAGTGCGCACACCAAAATTTGATCAGTCCTGTCGAAATTTCTTTACTGACACTCTGATCTCAGTGGTCTTGATGTCTCTGTGTTCGACCTTACCTCTAGTTCCCGATCCATCCTTTACTCGGCCCACCTTTTCTGGGAAGATCTGGACCGCGTCCTCGTGGCCGCTGGCACAGCATTTGGCGAGATAATATACTGGTCATGGTGCGATAGTATCCGCGATGCTCCGGCTTCACGCATACACCGCGTCTTTCTGGGTCATGAGGGCTCGATCTTTGGTGTTCAAATCTCAAAAGAGCTGCCTACTGAATGCTGCCAAAAACTGAGGCGGGTAGTAGCAAGTTGCAGCGACGACCGCACCATCCGGATATGGGATGTTTCAGATGTGATTACGAGTGCGACTACTTCGGAGGCTGATGACAATGACCTGGAAGTTCTAAGGACGCGTCATACCGGCTTCACTAACGAGGCTTTCGACTCAGACGAGTTCAATAGTTCAAGCTGTCTCGCGATTGGATGGGGACATCTTTCGCGCGTTTGGTCAGTTCGGTTTCTCGAAGCATCCCCATGCAATGGGTCATTGCTGCTCCAATCTGCCGGTGAAGATGCCACCGCACGAACGTGGGAACTCACGCCCAACCCTGGAAACAGCGCAAACTTTCCCTATAAGTTATTGGAACTTGATTGCGCAGCGCATCATAGCGGAAAGAATCTGTGGTCTTCAGTTGTCTCTGATGTCTCGACTGGAGTCCAGCAGGTTATTGCAGGTGGTTCTGACAGTAAAGTCACAGCTACCCCGCTCACTCGCGTCTTGCAAGCGGAGAAGAACCTGCGCGGTACGATCGCTGAGTATACTGTAAATGACATACTGTCATGGGCGCAAGCGGCCGAAACAGGTCTTGACAAAACTGGACTGGTGCAACCCCCAAAATCTTCAAAGAAAGCAGAGTTCTTTAGAAGCTACTGCTTTGTGGACGAGACCTCGTTCTTGCTTACGACAAATTCTGGGAACGTACTAATCGGTACATTATCATCCACCAAGGTTCATAACCAATCAAGTCTCCTTTCAGATTCGACTCTACTTGATCGACTAGAAGACCTTTCTGGTTACTCCGTTTGTACGAGTGGGTCTCGTCCTGGTTTCGCTTACGTTGCTGGTGGCAGCGGCAATATCTATGTTTATAGCAAGATTTCGGCTACCTTCACAAGCCTCTATGCTGTTGGTAGTAAGGTCGGAGACATATTCGCTGCCGAGCTGGCAGATTCTGATGGCCCAGGTTCGACGGTTCTTCTTGTAACTCTCGTTGGTCAAGGTGAAGCGCGACTATTATATGTGGATCCTAATTGCAGCACAAATATTCAGAGAGTCGTACCGATACCCGTAGCGGACTCCTCAACCGGTTCTGTCATCACCAGCATGACATATGCGAGAGCATCCGGTAGGGATTTTGTTATGGTCGGGTTCCGACGGGGATCGATTGCGCTGTTTAACGTCCACAACGATGAGGAGGGTAAGCATGAAGCTACTTTGCTAAGAGTCATCGACAAAGCACATGGAGGAGAAGCAGTTACCTCGCTCACATGGCAACCCTCATCTGAAGCTACTGGGCTTGGCCATCTGTTCTCAGTAGGAAGGGATGGACGTCTTTGCGTGCACCAACTTGATTCATCTGCGAATATAGTCGAATTGGTACATGACCTTGCGCTCCCGTTCGGGCCCAACATCGAAGGATTATACGTCCAGGATGGTCGACTCTTCATACACGGTTTCTCAAGCAAGAAATGGTACCTCTACGATGTCACTAACGAAGAGGAGGTCATGAGCATCGACACCGGAGGAGCACATAGGAGTTGGACCTTCCGGTCGCATTCGTCTGTAGGAGGCACTCTCGTGTGGACACGAGCTTCTAGTATGCACATCTGCAGTCAGAACGGAGCAAATCATGCTGTTATTCGATCAGGGGGTCACGGGCGTGAGATCAAGGCGGTAGCGGTTTCGCCACAAGGTGGAAGCCGATCTCGTCAACTTATCGCTACTGGTGCCGAGGACACCGATATTAAGATCTTCCAGTATGCTGAAAAAGATTTCGCTTGCCGAAGGACTATTCGCAAACACACCACAGGCATTCAGCATCTGCAATGGTCGCATGATGGCGAGTATTTGTTCAGCAGTGGTGGCTGTGAAGAATGTAAGGCCTCTGCCTAGTCGTGCAAGTGTGTTGCTGATTTTCCTTGCAGTCTACGTATGGCGGATTCGTGACTTATCGACATCTGCTCTCGATATCGGAGTAGTGTGCGAACATGTATTTGTGCCAGAAAGTGAGCATGCGGACTTGAGGCTTATGTCTTTCGATGTAATCACGTTGGGATCTGCACATACTATTGCAATGGCATTCTCAGACTCTAGCATCAAGGTGAGCTAGTTCCTTACTCATGCTATGACAAAGCACTGACACACATAAGGTTTACCGTTTTGACCCTACTGTTACTGTGAAGTGGCAGCCTCTTGCGAAAGGCCTGTACTTCACATCCTGCCTGACGCAATGTATGTTCCTATCTATAACGAAGGTCTTGACAGCTGGTACAGATGGTCATGCTGTGATATGGCCGCTGGCAACCGAGACAGAACGATTGTCAGGCGATTCTTCCGGTCCGACCCTTCAGCTGGCATGGCATCATCCGGCAAGGATACACCAGAACTCTTCGAAGGCCATGACATGCCATTCTGTCGATGCAGATACTTGGCTCATCGTGTCTGGTGGAGATGATGGCAGCCTGGCGTGTATACTCGCACGATCTACATCCTCACACTCGCCGACTTCACCTGCGACCTCTTATGTTTCGCCACCAATACTCGCCAGCCGTGCACATGGCTCTGCAGTGACATCATGCAGCCTCTTTAAGCACAAATCACGCATCCTCCTTGTCACATCAGGAAATGATGAATGGGTCCGACTGTGGGAGATTGTCCTTCGGAAAAATGATGGTGAAGTCGGACATGAGATTTCAGCAGAGCTAGGAGATGCATTGGTGATCCAGAGGCTGGGGAAGGTCAAGACGAATGTTGCAGATGTGTCCAGCATGGCGGTGCTCGATAAAGGAGATGATGTTACAGACGCGAGAGTGCTGATATGTGGAGTTGGCATGGAAGTCATACGCATAGCCGCGTGAAACGATCAACGAGAGAAGACGAGTACATAGATTGCATTTAGATTAACCGTGGTTATCCTCCACAATCGAGCGTTATCTAAGATCGTCCCTAGATTGCCCTGCCGCTGTGAAAAGGCTATTGGTCGCTAAGCGATTGTTGTCGGGACAACGCATGTGCAGATGTGGTTAGTGTGTGTTCGCGCTTTGACAACACAACACGGCAAGCACGTTCACAACCTCGACTGAACCTGTCTCACACCAGATCGACAACGACACACCACGAAGACAGCGAACCTCGACAAAAATCATGGTCGCTACACGTCGCGGTGCGAAGAAAGCCCCAGAGGCCGCCTCTGCGCCCTCAAACACACTCAACGCCCCTCCCAAACGCGGCGGCAGGAAGAAGGCAGTCGATGAGATCGACGAACTCGCGCCTTCCCCGATCAAACCCACAAAGACAACCGCCGTGAAGCGCAAGGCGAAGGCTGAGCCTGAAGATGCCGAGCCGCCCATGGCTAAGAAGACGGTCGCAACAAAGACAGCGCGCACAGTCAAGGTCCAGACGAAAGCTGTGCCTGCACCTGCTCCAGCAACAAGAGCGACGCGTGGTCGCAAGGCTGAGGAACCTGCCGCTGCAGAGGAGCCCGAAACTACCGAAGAGGCGCCCAAGCCAGCAGCCACTCGTACACGCAAGATCGCGGCAGTAAAGCAGGCACCTGCACCCAAACTTCAGAAGCCTGTTGTTGCCGAAGAGCCTGCTGTCGAAGAGGCACCTAAAGCAACATCCAGGGTACGCAAAGCACCTGTACCCGTAAAGAAGGCGCCCACCACCAAGAAGAGCGAGCCTGCTGCCACCGAGAAAACCGCCGTCAGTGAGCCGGCTAAGCCAGCAACGCGAACCCGCAAGCCACCAGTACCCAAAGCCTCGGCATCCGCTCCAGCCCCCGTCATCGCACCCAGAGCCACACGTGGCCGCAATGCCCCGGCAGTTTCACAAGACTCGCCTCTCAAGGCACCGGCCCGCAAGCCTACAAAGAAGACCGCTGCTGTTCCCAAGACGAAAACTGAGCCCGAGGCTGTCGTCGAAACAGCTGAAGAGCCAGTCGCTGAGATAGTCGAACAGCCAATTGTCGAGGCTGTTGAAGAGGCAGTCATTGAAGAGGCAGAAGAGCCAGTTGCCAAGGCAATTGAACAACCGGTCATCGCGGTGGCTGACGAGCCAGAAGTGATTGAAGAGTCAGTCGTCGAGGTTGTCGAGCAGCCATTCGTAGAGTTTCCTGGCTACCCTGCAACACCCACACACATCTCTGCCCCAATGACTTCTAGGGAAGCCGTCGCTGAACTACCGGGCTACCCGACTACACCATCCCATATCATTGCGCCTCTGTCGAACGAGCAGGGTCTTGCAGAACTTGCAGGTTACCCCACGACGCCTGCGCACATCACTGCACCCGTTGTAGCAGCCGCCCAGGAAGATGATGTCGATGTCGTTGAGCATGAGTACAACGACGTCGCCATGGAGGATGTTGAGGATAATGAGCCGGTAGAGCAGAGTGAGGCCTGCCAAGTCTCAACGGTTTCTGAGGCCGAGGAGCATGTCACGACAGTGGTATCAGGAGATCCTCAGCACGTTGAGTACCCTCACATCGAAGAGGAAATCCGCGAGGACCTCGACGCTACAGTTGACGTCTCCACACCCGCTGCAAAGTCTCCTGTGACTGTCCAGCCTGATACCTCTAGCTCGGCCGCTATAATAGTAGGTGACTCGACTGCCGACATTTCTGGCACTCCCTCTGCCGAGGTCGTCTGCGGTATGACTGACCAGGAAGCACTTGAGGAGCTTCCAGCCGCATACCCTACCACACCAACTCACATCTCCGCTCCTGTAACTTCTAAAGCGGCATTGGCCGAGCTCCCGGATTACCCCAAGACCCCAGCTCATATCTCTGCCCCTGTAACTTCTAAAGCGGCGTTAGCTGAGCTTCCGGGTTATCCAAAGACCCCAGCTCACATCTCTGCTCCTGTAACTTCTAAAGCAGCATTGGCCGAGCTCCCTGATTATCCCAAGACTCCTGCTCACATCAAGGCACCAATGACTCCTCGCCGCGCTCTTGCTGAGTTGCCCGACTATCCCACCACACCAAGCTTGGCACTCGAGGCTGCTCTCCAGGAAGAGATCACCAGGTCAGTCAAGAAGCAGACACCATCGCCTGTGAGATATCCAACTCTCAAGAATGACTCATTCGAGCTTGAGGAGCCTAGCGAGATTGCCGACATCAGCGAGGTCACTGAGGCTAGTGAAGTCGGTGAGATTGCGGTTGCGCATACTGCAATTGAACCTTCCCCGTTTGTAACCAGGCCAATCATGCAACTGGCGCCACTCAAACTCGCTCCTACTTTCGCAGTACCCGAGCCAGCATCACCCAAGAAGTCCGCCCTGCGATCACCTCAGAAGGTCAAGGACGCTAAGACCCCGAAGAAGACTGTTGCTTGGACCGACGTTCAAGCGGATGAGAGCGATCTATTCCTGTATGACGGCATTCTTCAGGGCATGGTTTTCTACGTCGACGTCACAAGCAACGGCAGGGAGCAAAATTTCCTCTTCCGTGGTCTGCTCGAAGATCTTGGCGCGAAGGTAGTCCAAGACATATCGCACGCGTCGGTGAGCCACGTTCTCTTCAAGGACGGAAGCATATCCACACTGGAGAAGTGCCTTGAGAGCAAGGGGGCGATTAAGTGTGTCAATGTTGGGTGGGTGTTGGACAGCGAATCAAACAAGAAGCGTATGGACGAAGAGCATTATCTGGTTGATCTATCGGTTGCGAAGCCAGCAACTCCTCTCCCCACAACCACCGCGAAGCCCTTCACGCCGTTCAAGACTCCTTCCAAGTACGCGCTTCCACCTTCGTCTCAATGCAAGATGCCCAGCACACCAACAAGCTCCGAGTTCGATCGCTCCTTCAACGACGATAAAGAAAATTGCGAGGTTGGCATGTTCTTCGACAACGACAAGAGCCCTCTCGCACCTCGGACTGCTCCTATCAAGAAATCGTCTTTCCTGTTTAGCAGGTCAGCCATCAAGACTCCGTCCAAGTCCATCTTCCTTGGAGCTACGCCCTCAAAACCGATCTTTTCGGCTGTCAAGCCTGCTCCTCAGGCTGCCACTACTGTTAAGAAGCGCCCCGCAGAGTCGTCTTTCTTCGGCTCCCTTGGCGCGCCCAAGAAGTTGCGTCTCTTCTAGTGGACCCGTTGATCCTTGTCAGTCTTACATGGGCTTTTTTTGTTTACGGAGTTTGGGATATCATATGTGCATTGGGTGGCGCAGATTGGATAAGGTATTTTGTGTCTTCTTTGCAAGGTCTTAGTCGTGCTGTTGCCATGCCTGTTCGCCCTCCACCGCGGCTTGAAGGTTTCTACTGAGTGCTGCCTCCCCGCAAGGGTTGGCCTTCGTGGAAACCCAACATAGCCAGGTGAGGGGGCGGGCTAGTGGCATCTCTGCATACTTTGGATCTTGCTTGCTTCTCGTCTTTTTCTCGGTGGTGCACACGGTTAGAATTGGTCTCGCATATCACGGATGGACGATACTGTACGATACAGTTGGGCATTTTTGGCGTTACTGGATTCATCAATACTCTCCAATGGAGATGATCATGGATTGGGGTTGGAATCACTTGCTTTCGTATCATGGCATTGTCTCGTTCAGGTACAAATGACAACATGAATACTTCATACTGCTTCTTTTTAAAGATCTTTCGTGATATGTGGTCTACTGATAGTACGATTGGTAGATAGCCAAGAACGTGCTGTTTGACAACCGCTACTTGAAACATAGTTAGTGTCTTTGAGATCTGTCCAGGGCAGCAATTTGTTCGACGGGCATACCAAAAACTTTCCCTTGCTAACCAGATACTATTGAGGGTATATATATAAGCACTCGAAACTACATACGGAACGCACGAATGAAAGACGAAAGACAATCTATCGCGACGCCTGACCCATACCCATACAACCAACGAGCATCGACGTCTAAGGAAACACAGTATCATGCTATCTAATCCAAGTCCCACGATGCCTATCGATTCTTAGTCAGACCTTTCCTAGTCATCACCCATCACGATCCTCTTCCTCCTCCAGCCACTTAACGGCCTGATACTCTCCCTTTCAACCTCCCTTCCAGCAGTTCTGTGGTAAGTCCTCCACCTTTCCTCTTCGGTCTCCCTCTCCTTCTCCTCATACGAATCGCCCCAGAAACTATCTCGGCGCGTTCGGCTCCGCTCCCGTGAAGTAGAGCGCTCACGAGACTCCCATCGCTCGTCTACCCACCACTTATCGGTGCGGTGAAAAGGGTCGTACGTGGGTGAAAGCAGAGAGGAAGAGTGATGATGGTGGTGAGAAGAGTGCGGCCGGCCAAATTTGGCGTTGATACTCAAGTGGAAGTCGCGGTCTTCAGGCTCTGAAGAAGCGGGGCGGTCAGAGTATCTGTAATTACGCCTTGATTCGTAGCTGCGAAGTCTATCGTCGTCACCAGCATCTTTATGGTTGTGCCGGTTGTCCCTGACGATATTGTAGCGCTCGAGTTGCGAAGGTTGGTCGCGGACTGTCAAGGCGCGAGATAGCTTGGCTGGCTTCTGGTTGGTAGAGTATGGATAGTCATCAGCGTCGTCGAGATCAGAGAGCGTGATGCTGTGACGGCGTTTGTTGGAGTCGCGACGTGCGAGGGGACGGGTGTAGTAGTTGTCGTGATCCGGAGTCCGCTCGCGGGTGCGAGTACGGGTTAGGTGCAGGTAAGACATTGTTGGTTGCCTTATGAGGCTGATGGTCTTAGATGATAGTTGAAGAACTGTCGAAGGTGGTCGTCTTGCAGTATTGTTGGATCGAAAGTACTTATATTCTGTAGATTGCGAATTGGGCAAACAAAACCACGGTCCTCAAGAACCCTCTAAATACCATACGACCTGATGTCTCAACTGCCTAGAAAATTCCGAACGACATCATGTCTGGTAAGCACGGCCTCAATGCACCCCATGAACACCCAACGTGCTGCGCCTCCTCCTGCGGCTCAAGAAGTGGCTGGTGCAGATCGCTCCCTGATATGATTGGCTGCGCCCACTGTCGGCGTGTTCCGCATGAACGATACTTTACCGATAAGTTCTTGACCGCCAGAACATTGAGGCTTAAAACTCCTCTTTAGTAGATACATGGTTCTGACAGCCCCCGTGGTGTGTATCATGGAGGGGTCATGACAGCTGAAGTTGCGGTCGCCACTGCGCGGCTGTGACAATGTGGAGGTGTGGGGGCCGGGAACACGACGGTGAACCATGAACTGTGTGTAATCAACATGCGATAATATGACGGGTACCTGCCGTCGTTGAGATGGATGCCTAGGGAAATACGCCATTTCCTTCCGATGTGTTCGCTGATCTTCTGTTGCCAGTGCTCATGGATGCTTCGCCGGTTGGAGCTTACGACGCTGCGAGGGTCATGCGCTCTGGATGAATCATAGCTAGAATCAGAGGCGTCTTTCCAAGATTTTTCATTGTGGAGGCTGGTCAAGAAGTGTGACTGTTGCTGTTGATAGAGGCGCACTGACAGGCATGACCAGATTCTTGACATACCGCGGTGAGCATTCTCAAGCCACAATGTCTACAACCCACAAGACTCTGTTTGGATTATCCATCGAATTGCGTACTCGCGCCTTACGGTCATCCGACTATCACAGTGTCAAGCCCAGGAGGCCTGCAGTTAGGATCAACTAGGCCATTGACTCGTGCCTGACCAAGGGCATGGTAAGTTTTTCGCGTCTGAGTTCCATAATCGAAATTACTGCCTAGAAAATGTCATTGAGACCTTGATGCACTAGTCACATTACCTGTCGAGTTTCGTTCCGGCTCTCACATACTGCTTTCGTCACTGATCTTTACTCGCCCTCTTACTCCTTGTCCAAATAGCTCGTATGTTCTCTCGCAGAGTCTGCTACAAACCTGACGTTCCACGGGTGCTTCGAGAGATCAGCCTCACTGTGCGAGTTGAACTGCCAGACATGCTCCGCTTGCGTAAGGCAACAGCCCCGTGACGCTGTTTGTTGTCTAGTTTGTGTCGCATATCCAAGTCCTGCAAACTTGCTGATGTGACGAAACGCGGTGTATCTAGGACATACAAACGTGACCGTTTTATGCAAGACGATGCTTGCAATGGTTTGAATACTCAGCCTGGGATCGGGGAACTGCGAGTACATGGAAACTCAGCCCTACCGATGAGGTGGGAAAGCTGGAAAAGATACAGCTTTTACGAAGCAATTGGATGAAGCGCTCGTAAGGAACTAAGAATGACCTGCCAGTAATTCGCCTGAGAATATATTATTTGTAGGCGTTTGCATCCAGAGCGTATTAGGTAACATCTGCTGAATGACCAAAGGCATGCCGGATAACCATTCGATCCATATTCGCGCTGACTGTGCCTCTGTAGTCGCCACAGAGTCTAGTGTGACGGATGGATGACATGAAAGCCTCCCCACCTTGTTGGTTCAATACCAAGAACTACAAGAGGGTGGTTGGCGAAGGTTTCCGCGTTTGGATGTGTTGATTTTCACGCTTAGATGTGATCTTCGTGTATGGAATGGGTTTTATTTTTCCATGCTTGTTGGTGTCGAAGGAAACCTGGATTGCTGGTATCAAAGTTCTGCATGTCAGTGCGTAGGGCTACGATGCAGCAAAGCGGCACATCCTCGCCTGTAAAAGCCACAGCCAAGACGCAAGCAGGCTCTATACCACGGCGACGCTTACACGGCTGGCAGACAGGGTCTTTTGACTGGCTCTGGACGAACATGTATACGCGCATATCGTCTGCAGTTTTGTGGGCGGGGTGCGCTGTGTTAGCTTTGTTCTAAATGTATTCTCCAACACGTGCATGCATGAAGAACGGTTGATGACACCCTGTACATCTCGTAGCGCTAGCCGAGAAGGTAAGATACTGTCGAGGCCATTTCTCCTTATTGGCAGTAGAGTCGCACATGGAACATAATGCATCGAACCTTGGGGACGGAAGAATTCAGGTGTCGGTTAATCATAACGCGATCCCAGCTCCGCGATAGAAGACGCATGGCATTTGAAGTGGCAGGCACATGGAGCAGGTGTTGTTCTTAGTGCTAGCATGAGTGTGGGAAGATTGTAGAGAGTATGGGTATGCGCAGTGAAAACCATGCTGTCTTGAATTGTGAAGGTGTAGTTGATGCATGAGAGTTCGGAGATTGTGACAACGCCCGGCAGCGCTTGGCATGTGATTGCGCACCTAGGCGTGCCATGGCCTCTATCCGCTAACCACGATGAGGCTTCCCTGGCTGCACAGCTTGCGAACTTACTCACTTGGAGACATGGCGGCACGGAAGGGGCCTCAGCGTTTGAGCGCGCTGCGTGCTCTCCATGTTCTCTCCTGCATGCCAGATTGACAGCTGTAGCACGTCGACATGTTCCTTCCACCAGAGCTCCTGACGCTCTTCTTCCTAGCGAATGCCGCAGCGGCTATCCCTCGTATGCAGCCGATGCCGAGCCAACTAGAGAGCATACAGGCTAATATGAAGCAGAGGTCTCCTTACTACCGAATGTCACCGAGACTGCCCCTGTCGAATGGGCGACCGTATCTATCCCGACAGAGACAACAGGAACGTTTGACGCTGCTGCTACGGAGAGTGTGTCCATAGACAGGGGAGACGGACTTGCAGAGGGGGATCCATGTAATTCTGCGGGGACCGAACAATGTTGTGTTATAGATGACACCACTTGTGGCGAGACTAGCCGTCAACTCAGGCCTGGGGTTCCGACTGCGACAGGTTGGGGGGAAACTGGTCCAGCTACCGATCGTCTTGTGACGTTGATTGCGACTGAGACGACCGTCACCGCAATTCGACCGACAATTATCAACATTGAGACGAACTTGGTGGAGGCCGGATTCACACTGGGCGATGCTACTCAAGCGAGCGGGGACAACAATGGACAACAGTCTTCGGTCACGGTAGCGAACACAGTCCGTCCTTCGAACAAGCCTGGGCCATCTGGGGATAACATAGCGGGAGGAGACGCCCCCAGTGTTTCAGGAACGACATCGCAACAGACAGGGCAGAACAGTCTCCTACTGAGCATTGTCTCCCAGCTTGGTGGCACCCCATCGAACGTCCAGCCCGCATCTCCAACCACCAATAGCCTCGGCCAAACGATCACGCCTCCAAGTAGTGACAATGGAGGAGGCAGTGCTGCAGCGCAACCAGCGACCACTCCTAATTCTGGCATGCCGAGGGATACGGATGAAGCGTCGTTTCCGCAGGTAACACCGACAGTAGGTACTGGCTACCTCGTGATAGGAGGAGCATGGACAGTAACGCTTACGCCTGGTCTTTCTATCTACCTTGGGGGCAACCTCGCTCCTACAATACTAGAAATGACAACAGACGCCACAGGCAACACTTTGGTGACGGTTAGTTCGAGCGGTACTGCTGTCACTGCCACCGTGCGTGTTGCACTTACTACCATGACCATGCCTAAATCTGGCTTCGAAGCAAGTATCACCGACTCTGCACGCCCGGGTGAGCAAAGTGCCAGGCTGGCGACCACCTCTAGCAAGGGAGCTGGTGCCGATAAAACAAGCAAGCTTGAGTGGTGGACGGGTGCTGTCTTGGGCATACTAGGCTTCGGTATACTTTTGTAGCAACAGGTAGCAGCAGCTTCTGAGATTATGCTCCTTTGACACTGTGATGCCAAGTATATCAAGGTTCATAGTAATACTCGTAGTCACATGCTACGTCTCGTGAGTATCCCAGCCTCCGCCGTGCCCCGCTATATATTTCACCGAACCCACGTCCCACCTCTTCCTCCTCTTCTCCGCGTCTTCCACGTATCGCTACTCCCTTTCCTCAAAGCTCGAACAACCGAAGTTCTCTACTAAGCTTCGCTCTTCCAGAGCCCTTCTCGCGAAAACCGAACACGGTCTGCAGCACTAGCAGCATGTCTTCTGACGCCGACAAGTCCAATATTACCACCACCTACAAAGCTGCCAAAGACTTGGGGTTCCATAGCTTCAAAGCTTTCCTAGAGTCGTATGGGCTGAGGATCTGGGAATTAGACGACGTGGAAGAGGGCAAGGCGATCATGAGAGCCATGGGCTACAACGTATCTTGAACCGTTGCAACTGGAAGCCTCAGCGGGATTTCACCTTATCGGAAGCAGAAGTTTGCGTCAAAAAGACCATGGAAGGGCTAATGAGAAAAGGATGCAAAGTGAGGGGCGCTAAGGGAGCTCGAATCGATACAATCGAATGTGAAAGCCGTTTGTTCATCCCAAAACCCGAATGATATACCAACTGCGTTTGTTAAGCGTGAGACTCATTATACGAGTATTGAAAGTAGACATTAATATCGCTACATATGATTATTGTATCTTCGTTGTGTTCATCGCCTGGACCCATGGCTTCCAGAACTCCTCGATACCACGCTCGTAGTTCCATCCTGTCCAGTTGTAGTTTGTCATACCCCAGGTATCAGGAAATCCTTGCACTCCTGATCTGATTCTGTATGAACCGGCAATAGACCACATCATCCAGCTAACATCGTTGTCGATGGTGTATTCCTTCAGACAGTTCTGCAGAGTGTTGTTGAAGAGGGTTTCGTCCTGAGCACTGCCAAACTCGCTCAGGATGACGGGTGTCTCGCGGACAGCCTTCGGGCAGTCACCCGTGATATTGCAGGCGGCTGGTGCGTCGATACCCAGGGCATTGAAACCGTTGCGATAAAAGTTTGCCTTGACGATGTCGCAGGTGCCAGTGTCGATATCCTCGCTCATGCTGTAAAGATGAAGTTCCCAAACGAGCTTGTCGGCCCATGGATGGTCATCGAGGTTGAAATACACTGGCTCCCTCCTTGCCGCATCTCTGATCGCTGTGCACTTGTAGCAAGGGGCGGTGAGAATGTTCTTGCCGCTAGTCAAGGCTGATAGATCTTGTCCGTATTGCATGCCACCCCACAGGATAAGAATATCGGGGTTGGCCTCGTGGATTGCGTCAGCTCCAGCGGTCATGTTGCCTACAAGCGTATCCCAGTTGTAGTAAAGGTCCGTGACGTTCCAGGATTCGCGCAACTCGTTGCGGAGAGACATGCTGACTACATTTGGGTGGTCCTTCGCCCAATTGGCAACGTAAGAAAGACCGCGGCGCCAATGTGTTGCGTTGAACTGGAGGTCGTCGAACCAAGCAGTACCGTCGATGTGCGAGCAGCACCACTGCGCCTTTCCTGTGTGCACATCTGGGCTAATGAAGATGCCCTTCGTAGCAGCAATACGCGCAATATCGCTCCAAATCTCGAAACGTGTGGTCTGAGCAGTCCAGCCAGGGTTCTTCGCGATGATCTCGTTCGTGACTTTGGTACCGTTGACGTACCCAAGGGCATTAATGAGGCCAACTTCGAGCGGGACATCAACACCGTCCCTGTCGTAAACCTGGTCGATCATCTCGATAGCATATCCCATGCGGATATAGTTGAAGCCGACACCCGCGATATCATCTAGAATCTCTTCCGCTGACGCCCATTCAAGCCCTTCAGGAATCATAGTCTCGCCTATAGAGGACGTCAATCAATGTTCACCTACTGTTCAGTTGATGCTTGTAACGTACCGCTCATAGGCCAGTTGACGCCCGCCCAAGTTGTCTTCTCACCATTGCTATCAACAATGTCTCGGCCTCGGGTACTGTACGGGCCATTGAAAGATGGAGACGTGCTGTTAGTGGCCTGTCGGCGCGCATTGTATTGGAAAGCAGTGTTGCTGGAGATGCCAGGCAAATATCCAGCCGAAACGACAGCAGCAGCAAGTGCTGTGCTAAGCAAAACGCGTGGTCCCAGCATGATGAGAGGATGAAGTGACACTTCGCGGGATGCAGGATAGACATTAGGTACATTCGGACCTTTATAGTCCTCGGTGCGGTATACTCATCACGAACAGCTAACTGGGAAGAGCCTCAACGTCCGTCGGCAGGCTTGCTCAATGCAAATCAAAATCCGATGATCATCGTCACTTCGCGCCGGGTTGTCGGATAAAAGCTGTCCGAGTTGAGGTACCTCCGCATTGCGGGGAAGAATACGAGAAATTAGTACTTGGCGAACGAAGCTATTTCCATGGGGATTCCGCCGGCACAACTTGCAGCGGAAGCATTACGCTTTTCGTATGATGATGTTTTTTAGCCCAGTGCTTGGTTTAGGGTGCGCGGGCTTGTAAGCACAATTCATCCGTGCTGTTTGCTAGGTACCGTTGTTGTGACGGGTGCCGCTCGGCTATGAGCAGTACTTTGGCTTATCTTATCGACACGTGCACCGTGTTCCTAGCGCGTTCCTCGATTCCTTCACGCCACACGCCGTCGACCAGCCCTCAATGAGACGCTGTACCTCACACGACCCGCCATGGACGCATTGTTGGAGGGACTCAACGATGCGCAGAGAAGTGCGGTAACAAGTCCCGCCAATGTTGTCCAGGTCCTCGCGCCGCCCGGCTCAGGCAAAACTAAAACACTCACAGCACGCGTCGCGTACCACATCAATCACGAGCGACTACAGCCATGGAACATCATTGTATGTACTTTTACCATCAAAGCTGCAAGAGAGATGAAGGAACGGATCAAGGGATTTGTTGGAGAGAAGCTTGAGGCAAAACTTATACTGGGTACCTTTCATTCAGTCGCGCGTCGCTTCTTATCTCGGTACGGTCAAGAGATTGGGATTGATAAGAACTTTGGCATTGCGGATACTAGCGACAGCACGGCAATACTGAAGCGAATTGTCACGCGTCATCAGTACACAGTGGAACCTGGCCATGCTCGTTCCAGGATCTCCAAACTCAAAGCCAAGGGAACCACCGCCGACGATTTTCGAAGGACAACAAAGAATGTCAACGACAATGAGTTCGCGATGATATATTCCTCTTACCAAGAGCATTTGGCCGCCTCCAATCTTCTTGATTACGACGACCTTCTTCTCCGATGTGTGGATCTATTAAAAAAGTCGCCATCATGTGTCTCCACGATACAAGCTGTACTAATTGACGAGTACCAAGACACCAACAATATCCAGTATGAATTAATGAGGTTATTAGCCCAAAGAACAAGACGTATCACCATTGTCGGTGATCCAGACCAAAGTATATACAGCTTCCGGTCAGCAGAGATCAAGAATCTCCTGCGGATGCGCACCGATTACCCGGAGGCAGTCGTCATCAACCTGGAGAACAACTATCGGTCTTCGGGATGCATCTTGACCTCCGCCATGGCTGTCATTGAGCAGGATGAGAGTCGACCACAAAAGTCGCTCATTGCTACACATGGCGTTGGTGAGCCTCCCACTCTTCGCCATTTGGTATCGGCCAACGTGGAGGCGAAATGGATTGTAGAAGAGATACATCGGACCAGAACGCTTGCAGCGGGGCTGCTGAGCTATAACGATTACGCTATACTTGTACGCTCATCTCCTCTCACGCTCCAGATTGAGCGAGCGCTCGGACAAGCTGGAATTCCCTATCGGATGGTCGCTGGTACGAAGTTCTTTGATCGGGCGGAGATCAGGATCATCTTAGACTACCTGCGCGTGGTCAGTCAGCCAGATCACAATGATGCAGTGGCAAGGGTTATCAATACACCGTCCCGGAAAGTTGGCGATGTTACTGTGAAGGCACTACTCGAAGAAGCAGAAGTCAGAAAAGTCACTCTGTGGAAACTGGTGCTGGATATCGCCCAGGGTAGGAGGAAGCCGGAAAGCAAAGTCTCCGCCCAAGCACAGAAGGGCATTGAACAGTTCGTCAATGTCATTCTTACCTCGCGCGAGAAGCTTCTTCCTGCTAAAGGCGAAGACTGTAACTTGCTAGGTCTCATATCGCACATTCTGGCTAAAATACAGTTCCAGTCCTATCTTAAGCAGACACATAAGGAGAACTGGGAAGATCGATGGGCAAACGTGGAGGAGCTGGTGAACCAGGCAACACAGATGGCTACGGCAGTTGCTAATGGGGAAGAGATTTCTGACGACGCCTTGCCAGTGGTAGAGGGTATCGAACAGCGAAACGACACCGGAGCCGATATTCTGTCCAAATTCTTGGCCAATGTTACGCTCTCGAGCGCAGCAGACCAGGAGGGAAGCGAACTGGACCAGGTCACCATCTCTACCATCCACGCAGCGAAAGGTTTGGAATGGCCTGTCGTCTTTATGCCTGCTGTGTATGACGGATCTATACCGCACTCTCGAGCAGATGACCAGGATGAGGAGAGGCGTTTGTTGTACGTTGGTATGACTCGAGCACAAGGCCTATTGTACCTGAGTTGCCCAGTTAAGCAGTCAGGTCAAGAGCAGACGACCCTTTCCAGGTTCATTTCCGATCGGAAAATACAGAAGCTTTTCAACGACCGAGGACCAGACTTAGCCTTCAAGCGTAGTACCATACCAGACTTGGCCCGTATTCTGCGGAGAGACTGTCCATCGTCTGAAGACATCAAAGGTGCTCTCGGTTTGCTGGAACATCCGGAAGACGATCGATACCCAGCGACTCGAGAGGAGATTGACGGGGATGATCCAACATGGGGCGCATACGGATCCGACAAGTACAGAAGCGCGAAGCCCATCGGCGATGGGCCAAATCAATCTTTCAAGCGGCGCAGGCTGGAATCATCGAGCTCTTTCTCTACGGACTCAGTAGCGGTCACCATGAATAGAGCGTCTGGATTTTCGATAGCGACGACGACCATGCCGACCGTCAAAGCTGGTTTCACCAGTGCCCGGGATCTTGGAGATCTCCAAGCAATGCAGAGAGAAGCAGAGCGCATTCGAACACTAGCCAGCACTCCCAACGCAGAGATTGCCAAGGCAGCCTACAACGACTCCAAGAAAGCAGAAGCAAAGCCTGCCCGAGCGAAATCCGTCAAGCCACTCGCAAAAGGTCAAGGTGCCATTACGAGCTTCTTTAAGCGATCAAACAGCGCGATATCCGAGGAAACAGAAACTGCGCCATCATTCACTGCGCCGTCTCTGCAACGCTCGCAATCCTCATTTTCCACTCACACTCCACTTCATGACATATCCAACGTGCAATCCTCCGTTTCGCGACCACCACGCCCGTTTCAACCACTCTCAATGCCCAATCACAAAGTTACG